ATGCTGTAGATGTCATGTCATCTGCATAGAGGTGTTGTCACCTTATCAGTCCTGCAGCACTGAGATCTATATATGTTAGGTAATTTCAGAAAAAATAATGACTTTTCTGCTCATATGTTTCTGTTTAACAACTGCTACTCATAATTTGCTTTTTTTATGGCTTAGTTATTAAGTGGCCGCCAATTACGAAGAAGGGTTATCCACTGTTATTCACTTTTTGCCACGGAAGCTATTATCACCTCCTGACTGAGCTGAATGGCTTTGAATCTGCTATTAATGTTAATTTATCAGCATCATAAACACTTCCCCACAAGGACACATCACTGGAAGAGACATGTCAGGAAATAGATGAGTTATTTTATATGCCTCATTAGAGAAACACCAAGGATGAAAGATACTCTTTAATTTTGTGATGCCCGTTTAAAACTGAGCTCATGTGGCCCCCAAGGTTGGCTACGGCAGGTTGGAGATCTCCTTTTGGAATTAGAAAGGTGCTCCATGTACCTATCCTCCTAGGTCCGCAACCTTGGCATCATTTTAGACACCACCCTCTCATTCTACTCCCACATTAAATCTGTCACCAAATCTGCTTTCTTTCACTAAAAAATATTTCCTGATTCTGGCCATCACTGCCTGACTCCGTGGCAGGAACCTTTACTCACGCCCTTTGACCTCTTGTCTTGACTATTGCAATGGCGTTTTTGTCTGGGGTACCCAGCAAACCCTTGGACAGGCTCCGAGACAAAACTCAGCTGCCAGGGTCCTCACCAGCACCAAGCCCTGGCAGCACATCAACCCAACCCTTATCCACCTGTAACTGGCTTCCAATCCCCTACCTTCATATATTTTCATCATGTTCTGTTGTTTTGCATTGGTATGTGCCTTTCTCTTAACATGTGGATGTGATTTTTATTCATTGATTCTAGTGGAAGCAGCTGAATGTTTGGCAACTTTGAGTCCAAGACTAATTTCCCCATGGGGACAATAGAGTGTATCGCATTGTATCGTATTGTATCTCAGTTTAATAACTGATCACTTTATCAGAGCAGTTAGAGGTGCTCCTGCTTATCTTGCTCCCTTACCATTTACTAGCATCAATGTTTCCTTATTATTGAGTCATCTTGCATTTATTATCTTAAGGACACATATTCCACCCTCCTCTCTCATTCATGTGATCCTGGTGAAGGATTTTTATTTATTTACTCTGCTTGGGAAAACCTCTAAATTCTGTATAGAAAGTCAAGTGCCTCATGTTATTTGCATGAAGGCCGAAGAGGTTTTTTCTACTTTTCACAGGTCTTTCTATGCTGGTTACAGTATTTAATCCAGTATGATAAACTGATGTTTAATGTCTAGTTCTTATCAGGCAGTGTGCTGGTTCGGGTGTTTTGATGACACAGGTAGACTTTCACAGTCAGTTATAGCTTGTAAAAGTTTTTTTTTTTTTTTTTCGTTCTTGCCTTACTGTAGCCTATGGAGGGTTTGCTCTTTTCTTCTTTAAGTCATTGTTATCAAATAAAGGCTAAACAGAGATTGATTTGACATGACATTATTATGACATAATTGATAAATGCATAACACAGTGCTGCAGTGACTCATAGACTATGAGCTTGGACCCAAATTAGATATAGATTATCAAGCAGCTCTGTCCCCACAGTAATATGTTTTCATGAGCCTGAGTCCCCGGAGAAAACACAAACAGATATCTTGAGTTCAATACCAGGATGGACAAGTTGTCAATCCCCCGCTGTAATGTTATTTACAGGAAAGCACGTTCTTGTTCCTGCATGCCTGTTTTCATATAACTGTCATATCAGATCTCATCCAGTGCTATATTCTATCCACATTTCTTCTACTAAGTGAATTAGTCCTCCATAATGTGCAGTCTGATGCTCTAATGTTGTAATAATGGCTGCAGATGCTCCTCAGGAAATGGCCTGAGATGCCACGCATATTGCACTCCATAACACTTATGAACGTATTGAAGGAAGGACCGTGTGCAGCAACAATGTTTTTAATTACCTGAACCAGCATGATGGCTCAAAACTGAAGTTTATCATGGATGGACACTAATGGTCCCCAGACGATGATTACTAAAAATGTTGGTGTCCATGGATTTTTCCTGCGGCACCAAAAGCAGATAAAGGTTTTCACTTTACCCTTCAAACAGATCACCATCAACTAAGTAGGTGGGCAAGTAATTGTATTGGACATCCAATAATTTAAGAAATGTTTCCATTTTGGCTTAAGATTTCTCATCAACTATCTAATGCATTTTTTTTAGACATTTTGTCCCAAGCAATTTGTTTCGAATGCTAATCTGCCCTGGCTGTACTTTTTGTTTAATCCCATGTTGCAAGTTTTGAGTATTGCTACACCTGCTTAACATCAGCATATTAGCATAATGACATTAGCATTGTGCTCAAAGCAACATTGCCTAATTTTAGCCCCATAGAGTGGCATGGATTCGATTTAGTGTCTCTTGTTTCAGTTTCCGAGATGATCTTTAGTTAAGATAAATCCTGAACTGTTGTGGAATATATTTTCTTGCAGGACAGTCTGCTATAGGCTACATTTTTTCTTAGTAAATGCAAGCTCTTCTCAAGTGTTTTTCTTTTATTCTTTTAGATCAGTATGTTTCAAGTATGTCAGTGATGAATACCTTGAAGGCATTGCTAATGGCTTTACAGTACTACATGTCATGAAAGCCATTTTGGAAATAGCCCATTTCCATGGTCTGATGTGTGCTCTATCTACAAAACAGCTCTTCTATTAAACTTCCTCTAAAGAAGCACAGCTCTGCTGCCTCCAACACCCAATTTGTTTGGGATAAATGTAAGACCTTAAGCCAGAAATTGAACCTGCCATCCATGAGTAAAGTGCTCTAGCTGTGGGCTGCTGTTAGACTTAGTGAAGACATCTTTTAAATGTAAATGAAATGCTGTAAGAGCATGATGGATTAATATGTATTTACATTTGCAAGTGCAGGCACAGAGAAATGAAGACTCACTTCTATGAATCTCATTTTTTTACAACCTGTTTTATGGTCACATAACATTAGTGTCTCAGTCTAATATGGTGCTGCTTTTGAAGAGTCTCTTTGAAAGATTGATTCAGTTCATGTCTTGGTGCTTTTGAGTGCAACAGAAAGGCAAATCCAAGAAAGTGAGTACAAAGCCCGAGGCTGCACCTACAATACACAATAAACCAGTGTGTGTTACTGTGCTTTAATGCACTGATTTTCAACCATTTCAAGTCAAATATTCCCGGGGTAAAGATGCTTTACCACTTGAAAACAGACCATGTCTCTGTACTTTCCAGCAGAGCAGAGTCCTGCTGTTTGCTGCAGTGCCTTCTGTCTCCTGCACAAGCATGAGATGAGACTCCAAGTATGAATAATGTCCTCCCTTGTGGCTCTCTTTCGCTCCCTATAATCCACTCTCTACTTTGGTCCCAGCAGGGCCACAGTCCCATCTAGACGGATCACTAGTCGTCAGTCTCTCAATTGAAGGAGTGGAAAGCAAGTGTAAATGAGAAGTAATGAGGCTGCATGATATGTATTGTCTAGTTAATTATATTTCATCTTCAAAACTGCTATAATACACTCATGTAAGGTATTTTGTAAATAGAGAATACATGAAACCAATTTTCAACCTTAAAAGAAGTTGCTAAATTAATGTTCATTATTTTCCCTTGCTTTAATCCGACATGTTCCCGTTACACAGGCATAACACACATTCTCTTTTTATTTGACTCTGACCCTGGTCTGTAAACTCAGCATGGCGACACGCAGGGGGAGAAAATGGAATAGTAGGACAAAAGCAGTGAAATTTGTCCAAACAGATGAAAAGCTGTGAGAAGGTTTTAGGAACAGTTTGATGCATTTTAAATCACTGCCAGCTGGACATGTCATCTGCTCATTGGCATGAGACAAAGCTTTCCTCTTCAGTGGATTGAAAGGTCAAGTCGACACCGAGCTCGCTGCAAAGAGTGACACTTGTCCACCAGGGAAATGAGAATGTGTGAGTGTGTGTATTTGTGTGCGCGTGTCTATGTGTGTGTTTGTGTGGATGGGGGCGTTCTTTATCTAATTTTGAGGTGCTGCCATGAGGAAGTAGTAAGAAATGTAATTTACAGTGTCTGTTTCTATGTGGTGTTGATCTTTGTTAATCTCCCGCTCATCCTGCTGAGTTTCAATCAGATTGGTTGTTTCTAATTTTGTAGAACACTTGCATAGATTGTAGGAAAAAAAGAAACAAGAGTGCACTATAGAAAAGGTTATGGGAGCAAGAGTTGGATTTTGTGTCAACTGAAATTACAGCTCATAATTATAATTAAAAAACTTCATGAAACTTCTATGTCAATGCAAAATTAGAGTCCAAAAACATGGATAATTATATCCCAGAACATGGTTTGACACAAGAATTTCCTCTCTTACTTTTGTTGAACTCTCAGCTGCCCTGTTGTTTTCCCATCAAGGTATAAGAAGTGTACAGCTTTCCAGAAAAGCCCTGGTTCAGTCTGTTGGTCAAGAGCCAACTGGACACTCCACAGGCCAGGTAGTGGTGGTGATGAAGGCCAAAATATACCAACACTTTGAAACATTTACCACACATGACAAAACCTATGGGCAAACCGAGGGCAACACGACATTAATTGTTTAATCTCGATTGACTCTTCTCATGATCGTGAGAAGCTAAAATCGCAGTTGAATTTGAAACTTGATTAATTTCCCATTCCAGACAATCTTAAATTCAAACACAACTAACATCAATAACTTTATCTCACATTTTTTGTCTCCTGATTTCCATTAGTCCTCCTGTCATCTGTAAAAAAACAAAACATTTATTTTCTGTTGGATTGTGTCAGTCCTTCAAAGAGACTCAGCAACATACGATTGAAGCAACAAAAGCATGGTAGCATAATGTGTAATGTGAAAAGAAAAATTAGACAGAAAAGCAGTTTAATTCAATGTTTTCTTCCTGTCTTTCTTTTCACAGTGAATAAGCACAAGCCGTGGATTGAGGCGTCTTACCACGGTGTGATCACAGAGAACATGGACACAGTGCTGCTGGACCCGCCGCTTGTAGCTCTGGACAAGGACGCCCCAGTTCCCTATGCTGGTAGGAAAAACAAACGCACACACTCACAAAGACAAAAAAAAAATAAAAATCTGTCCTACACTCCAGGATCAACACACGTTTAGAGAGTTAGATACACATTCAGTAAACATGTCCACACACACACACACACACACACACACACACACACACACACGTGCCTATGTGAGGATGCTTAAGAGCTGTTTGCAGGCAACTGTGGCAACTTCACACCAGCAGACAGAAACAGATGATCCAACAGTTCTCTGTGCTCGCTGTTTGTCATGGAGACTGAATTCCATTTATCACCCTTAGCAGTGTTAAACAAATGCTTTTCTCCTCTTTTATTAAACAGTACTTTCCTCTTGTTTTTGTAATAAGAACAACGTTTTAAACCCTACAGGAAGACTTGTTTTTTTCTGTACAGTAAAAGTAAGGGTTTAAAATAGAGGACAGACAGGTGACAGATTCAAGTCTCCTGCAGTTTCTAAAAATGCATTCATTTTCCTAATCTTGTCATCTTTAAGGTTTTAAGTTTCAGATTCATGTTCTCCACTCCTCTGTACAGGAATCTATTCACTTCTCCTTCTAATAACAGCCATGTGTCATCCTTTTATGTGCAGCTTATTATCCCATTTAACCCGAAGACGAAAGATTACTGTTATAAAGAGTATCAGAGCTCTTCGCAGTGACATTGTGAATTTTCTACCGTAAATCCTAATCCTACTTTGTCCTAATCTTCTAATCGTTCTGTATTTTTCAGATAAAACAAATCCAAAGCACACTTTTATTTCATAAATCTTTACACATGTACGGGAAGCCTGGGAGGTGACATGTGTATTATTATTTTTAAATTTGTAATGCATGTGTAGTATTATACTGTAGACTGTCATACACAGAAAAATCTGGGGACTTTACATATAGAGGTCTCCTTTAGTATTAGATTTGAAGATGCTCCACATTCAGTAAGTTTTAGTGTCCGAGAGTCCCCTGCATGAGATCAGGATTCTGCAGCCTTAAACTGTAAGATTCCTTGAACGATATATAAAAGACAGCTCCACAACAACATTTGCTCCTTTCATTTTTTTCTTGAATTATGTGTGAGCATCATAACCACGCAGTATTTAACAGTTTCCATTACCCAGTGCTGACTGAAAATGTTTTTATGGTTGTCACAGAGCAGGTGCATATGTAACAATTAAAGTAGCATATATCCACACGCGATGTCTCCAGATGACTGTTTCATCTGCTGATTATGTTGTCTAACAAGAGCTGGAATCAGACAGTCGTCACACAGGTGAAGCAGCGCTGACAGTCACAGGAAGCAGAGCGACAGAGAGCTGCTTTAATTGGACAAAATATTCTGAGACTCAAAGGCAAACGAAGAGGCTTTTTGGCAGCTAACGCTTAACAGCTCATTATAGAGAAATGGCTCCTATTAATCCCAGCGCTGACAACCGTGAAAAAATGATACTCAGCTATTTTTCTTCATCTCTTTCCCCTTTTTCTATGTTTATGTGTGTGTGTGTGTGTGTGTGTGTGTGTGTGTGTGTGTGTGTGTGTGGTAATGGCATAGCTTCAGCATTGTGTTTTAGCTCAGTTCCATGTGAGCTCTTCTGTTAATAATAGGTATATACAGTATGCTGTAGCTGACCTTGAGGAGCACTATACAGCCCGGATCAATGTTAAAGCTTTTATCTTCTGCTTTTTCTTACATGGCTTTTAACAGCATGTCCCGGTACATATACACAGCTCTTCAACACAACCTACATGTAGATTTACTGCAGGGAAGATTGAATTACCTTTTGAAAAACTTGAGGTTAACGTTTAGTCGGCAAAAGCATGAAAGAAGAATAAAGGAACCTTACAGAACATTTTAGAGAAACTACAATAATGTTTTTAAAAAAGAATGAAGTAAATGTCTTGACGATATTTTACAGACCTTTTTGCTCTCCAGTCAGTACAGTACAGTACACAGCACAATTCACAGACATTTGCATTCATTTCCCAGTTACGAATGGAAATGAATTTGATTGTTTTCCTCCGTGATTAACGCTTGTTTTGTTGACTTGAGAAGGTCGAGCCGGGTGAAATATCGCCTGAGACAAAAGAAGCAGGGCCATGCTGGCTGCTGACTGGTGATATTTCTCTCTGTTTTTTTTTCATTGCATGCAGCCTAATGAATGAAACCCACACAATCGCTACCAAGGAGACTGAAAAAATGGCCATCAAAAGAGCAGCTCCGACCCAGTTTATCTCCCTTTGCATTTGTCTACTAGTTCAGCTCTCACATACCCTCCCTGTCCTTTTCTAACTTTTCCCTCAAATCCTAATTTTAATCCGTCATTCCTTTCTCCATTGAGCTCCTCACCTCTTCTTTTTCAATCCTTTGTCTTCGTCTTGATCTTGACACTTTGCTCCCAGCAAGCCCATATACAGACGGTCTGTTATGCACCACAGAGGCTCTCATCAATCCTGGTTTTGTTTTACTGCAGAAAGGAGCAGGCCATCCTCCTGGCTCCACATTAATTACAGTGTGGGAACAGAAAGCAGGATTGTTAAGTATCTGCCTGTTTTCTCCTATCTCGTACTCTTCTTCCATCAAGCCATCCATCACTATTTCTTCTCCTCTGGATGCCTCTATGTTGTCTTTACTACAGGAGCTGAGCCTATTCAACAAGCTAAACTCTTGCTTGAAGGTAGTATTACTTGCGCTTTACAATGGCTCTTCCCCTCTTCATACAGAAACAACTGTAACGGACAAAACACAAACAACTGCGATCACTTTTTGAGACCATGTGTTTCTCACATATTCGAAATTGTTTTTTAAATTTAAAAATTCAAATTGGCTTTGGTTGAGATGGGTTTTTTTGCTATAAATTAATACAACTGTAACAATCTTTTTATTTTGCCCCCTGGAACATTCAGTGTTTATTTTTTATTTTCAAAGTTATTTTTGGGGCCTTTTTGCCTTCATTAGATAGGACAGCTGATTGTTGGGAGGACAGAGTAGAGGATGACATGCAGCAGAAGAGCCGAAGTTGGATTCAATCCCACAGCCGCTGCGACGAGGCTTAAAGCCCCTCTACATAAGGCGCCCAACATAAACGCTAAGGCTATCGTCGATCCTTTTATGACTTCACTTAAAAAGACAAAAACAAATAGAGATAGGATATTACAATTACACCAGCGTTCAGTGGTAAATTACAACATATGTAACTGAGAAAGATAATTTTCTCTCTCTCTAAAAATCCCATCAAAAAGTTCCACTTAGTTTTTTAATATTTACAAGTTAAAGAGTGTTAATGTTTTGTGTTAATCCTTGCAGAAACACAGTAAAGTAGATAAGGCCTTTTGCCATTTTCCTAGTCTAACTGTAGAACATAGGATCAGAAAGCCTACAGTGAATTCAGTGTTTTCTTCTCAAATTTGTAATGCATACTGACATATTTATTTACAATTGCAAATGTTATAGTAAGTTTTACACAATGTATATTTTGTCTTTGACTCCAAAGAGGAGTTGACTGTGTACAATGGTAGTCACAGTGGTAGAGCAGATTCAGTTGGCTTCCTCAAATGACATGAAAGTGTCCTATGTTTATAAGCTTGACAAACACATGTCAATCTTTATTCCCTAATGGCATTATATCCACATACACCAGCTCATCTTTTCTTCTTGTTAAACCTCACCTTTTTATCCTTCATTTTTCTCTTTTCTCTCCTGTGGTCCCACATTTCACTTGGATGTAAACTACCCACAGTGGGGCTAACTTCAATATTATATGCTGAGACAGGCATCCTGGAGATAAATTGTTATAACTCCATGACATGATGGCATCCTCTATCCTCCGACACCTCCCTCGAAGCGAAGGTGTATATGTGGGCCGTGGAGTATACGTGCTGATCGAGCGTTCTTAATCAAATGAGCATGAGGAATGGTGGTGGTGGACTCTTGGGTGCTACGAGGCAGGAAGGGAGTTTCATTTGCTTATTCTTTATCTCAAGGCCACAGTCAACAGGCACGGATTCTCCCCATTCATCACAGTACCAGAACAATGTGCCATGCGATGCATTGTTGCCTCTGCAGAACTCACACAGGCTAAGGGAACATAAATAGTTTTTGAGGTAGAGAAAAGAAGAAAATGGAGAGCTGAGAGAAAAACAGAGGAGACTGGTGGACAATGAAGATGGTAGTAGGGTCAGCATGAGCACGTACCCCTAAAAAACGTGTTCGATTACTCCGGTTGGATGGTTAAGGTTTTGTGTGTGTGTACTTGTGTGTGTCTGAAGTTGTCTTTGTGAACTATATTTCCCTGCATTTATTACAAAACAGTTTTCTTGAACTTTTTTAGCGTATCATTCTAACAGTTACTTCCACACTTTCTTACTTTGTAGCTCATCATCAGCTTCAGAAGTATCATTCAACTTATGTACTTATAATTCATTAGTAATCTTTCTACAGTGAATGTATTATGTTTAGATCTACCATCAGTCCAGTAACACTTTGATAAGCATCCTATAGACTGTATAAAACATGGATGTAGTCCCACCGATGTCACCCATTGATGTCTAAAGAGGTGTATGAGGGTGTGAAAAAGCAGCTCCACCATTCTTTCAAATAAGGTATGTGAAAGATTCATGTTCTAAAAAAGTTGAACCAGACTCAAATTTCTTAGCGTAAAGTTAAAGATGTATTTTTCATGTTTACTTTGATAATGTAACAATGAATATGCCTCCCTCTGTCCACTGAAAGCTAACAGATCAGGAAGTCACACTGCACGACTTTTATTTTATGTACATCAGCGTTTTCTTTTAGTGGATGATTTTGACATAAAACGGGAGAAAATATGTTAAAAAGGGGGTGCTGGTAGCTCCGTAAGCATGGCTAGGTATCCCAGGATGCTTTGAGCAGCTAGTCGGATGCTTGCAGTACCCAATGAAAGGGAGCAAAATTTGATTGACGTATGTCGATTAAAACGGGAGCTGCCACGGCCACACAGTACTGAGAAGTGATCTAAGCTGTT